CCTCTGTGTGTCCTGGGGACAGTGCCCTGCTGTCCCCTGAGGTCACCCGTCCTGGTGTCCCCGGGCCCTGGGCACGTTCCTGGGCCCGGGGACAGTGGCTTGTCCCCCAGGTGGCGGCGTCCTGGTGGTGGAGCGCGTGCTGGACGCGGACGGCCGGGGCCCGCTGGCCACGCTGCTGGGCTCGCTGAACATGCTGCTGCAGGCCGAGGGCCGCGAGAGGACGGCCGCCCAGTTCCGCGCGCTGCTGGCGGCCGCCGGCTTCGGGGGCTTCGCGCTGCGCAGGACGGGCGGCGTCCACGATGCCATCTTGGCCACCAAGGCGCGGCCCTGAGCCGGCCACCCTGGGACCCGAGGACAATAAAGAGACGTGTGTCCCTCCCTGGTCTCTGCTCTTGTGATGGGGGGGGGGACGGCCACCGTCGTGGCTGCGTCTCTTCCTTGCACAGGGCGACGTCCCCGGGCTGAGGGACCGGGCGGGAGCCCAGCTCTGCCGTGACCGTGGGCAGGTCCCCCGTCTTCCGAGGTCCCCGGTGGGGCGCAGTGTCCTGCTCACGTCCCGACAGAGCTGACAGCCCAGCAGGGGACACACCGGGGACGGTCCTCTCTGCCTCTGTCCTCCTCATGTCACCTCACGTACCCCCACGGGGACACCCGGGCAGCTCAGCTCCTGTGGATACAGGGACACGGGCAGAAGACCCAGAGGAGGGGACAGTGACGTCCCTGCCGATTCCTCACCCACTTCCCCTTGGGGCTCCTCCAGCCTGGTTCTGGGGACGGGGACGGGGCTTCTGGTCACACAGGTGTCCTTATGGGAAGAAGAGGGCCACAAGACAGAGGGGAAGCGTGTGGCAACAGACAGGGTGACGCCAGGGGACACCCTGCAGCACTGAGGCCAGCCAGGGGCCGCCCTGCAGGTGGGGCCCAGAGAGGGTGCTCGGTCTCCTCAGGCGCACAGCACAGAGAACCACCACCCAGCCGGGAAGGTCCACTGCGGTCACTCTGGGAAACCTGTGGGTCACTGTGACCGCACGGAAGCGACCCCGGTAGACGGTCCTAGAGTGGCTCCGAGGACCGTGTCACCGTCTCCCGGGGATGACCTGGTGTCACGGGGACCTTCTTGCAAACGGGAGAGCGAGATTCTGGGTGGCAGCTCCCAGAGGGGCCGGTGCGTGGACTGGGCAGCAGGGTCGTGCCGGGCCTGGGGAGGAGCCTCTCTGCCTTCTCCCTGGGTGCTCACGACAGCCTTGGGGACCGGGTCGCCATGGCGACATCCCGGGACCCGGGGCGGAGCCGTCTCGGCATCTGCCGGCAGGTGGCGCTGTCGGCGGCTGAGGGACAGGCTCGCGGGCTCGGGCCCAGGCTGTCCATCAAGCCGGCGGGGGGCGGGGCTGGGGACCCGGGGACAGAGGAGCGTCCCGTGTGTCCCCTGGCTGCCTTCCGCACTGGGTCCCACGACACCGTTTCTACGTCTCTTCGTCGTTTCCCTCCAAATGGCGAAGCCGATTAAATCCGCGGCTGCGGGTTCCTTAGGGAGACTCCCCGGGGACAGGGCGACCTCAGGCCAGGCGACCCCGAGCTCGGTGGCCCACCCCTCTTCCTCGTCCCCAGGTCCCCAGGGTGGGGGTCTTCGTCAGCGGCCCTGGGCGGGGGACACGGGGACCTGGTTCCTGGGGTTGCTTCTTGACCTGTGGCCATCGAGGGACAGACGTGCTCACAGCTGCCCCAGAGTGGGGACCCCCCCCCCAGCAGCACGATTGCTGCAAACCTGTTGGACGCCAGAGCTGTCACTCAGGGTGACAGGCAGGAGCTTATTGAAGGAAAGGGGCAGGGGACACTCTCAAGGGACAGAGGGGTCCTCTCAGAGAGGACAGGGACAGCATGCCCCTCCTGCCCTCCAGTTTTATTGGGGTCACAGAGAAGTCTCCAGAGAGCCCCGCCCAGGTCCCCCTCCTGACTCTGACGGACAGCAGGGTGACATCACACTCTCCAGTCCCCAGGGCCATGGCCACTCTGGGTCACCCTGGCCCCTGCTGCCTGGTTCTCAGTGGAACCTGTTCTTGCAGATTTTAGGGTTGGAGGAAGGGTCCTCGTCTCCCTGGGTCCCGGGACCTGGTCTGTGTCGGGGTCCCAGATGTCCCCCCTTCAGTGTCACCTGGCTCCTCTCAGGGACGTGACTTCCCGTCTGCATGTCCCCTGCAGGTCACAGGAGGTGTGTGAGGAAGGTGGCGGAGCCTGTGCCCGGAGGCCAGGCAGGGCTGCAGGTCCAGGGCTTCTGGGAAGGAGGCTGTGGGGTCAGCACCGGGGGCCACTGATAGAACTGTCCCCTGGACCTCGTGTCCACCATCTGCACCCGTCTGTCCTCTGTCACTACTGCTGGTCAGAGGGAGAAGTTGATGATTGTTTATTTATTTATTTGGGGTACCAGGGATTGAACTCAGGGACACTCGACCCCTGAGCCCCGTCCCCAGCCCTATTTTGCATTTTACTTAGGGACAAGGTCTCACAGAGTTGCTTAGGGCCTCGCTTTGGCTGAGGCTGGCTCTGAACTCGCGATCCTCCTGCCTCGGCCTCCTGAGCTGGTCGACAGGGGGCCAATGTCGGTTTGTAAACGGAGCAGGCCCTGCCGATCCTTGCGGGGCACAGAGTCCCCGAGGAGGGACGCAGGAGAGTCTGCAGCCTCCCTTGCAGTCCAGCTTCCTGTACTTAAATCACTTAGTCCCCAAAGTCCAAGGTCAGAAATGCCGGACCTTCCAATTCCCAGCTTTTCCAGAATCCACAGACCCTGGTCAGCAACGTCCGTAACCTGGGGTTTTCCCGTGTACAGTGGCGCTCAGACATTGCAGGCGGCCCAGGAGGAAGCTGGTCCTGGGGAGGGCGTTGGGTCCGTGGCCCCTGCTGCCCCCTAGTGGGTGGGCATTAGCCACTGCCTCTGGGGTCAGAGCTGCTTCTCGGGTCACAGGAGGCTGGCCAGCCTGAGGGCAGTCTCCTGCCTCTAGGTGTGGGTGGCCGGCCCTGCAGGGCGCCCAGAGGGGGGACCCTGCTCTGCACTGACCTGGGGGCTTTCCAAAGCCCCTAGGAGAGGCCGAGGTCCCCCACGGTCCATCTGCGAAGGGCTGCGAATGCTGCCTCCGGGGTCCTCGAGCACCGGGCCCCAGGGGACCGCGTCCTCTGCCCACATCTGGGACCCGTCAGCCAACACGGTCTGGGCACAAGTCGTCCCTGAAATAGTCGGTTGCTGAGCAAAGAGTCGCCGAGAAGTTGCATTTTTAGGAAGCGGAGCGGGAGGAGGCTCGGAGCGCAGGGCGCTGGCCCCGGGATGCCGGATCCGTGGGCCAGGCCGGGGCTGCAGGACACAGCGTCCAGCTCAGGAAGTCCGCAGGGCGTTGCTGGCTGCCAGGGACCAGGCGGGGGTCAGGGAGGGGCTCGGGATGTCCTTTGGGTTTGGGGGTGGGTGACAACGCTCTGGGGTCCGCAGAACGACCCTGGCCCACAGTTCTGCAGGCCGGTGCGACTTAGACGGTGACTTCCGTGCTGCTCCGTCCCTCTAGGACCGTTTCTTGGGCCCCTGCGCCCTTGGCTGGACGCTCCGTCCCCCCTGGAGCCCCCCACTCCTCTCTCCCAGGTCTCTGTCCCACGGGCTGCAGCCACCTGTCGCCTGCCTTGCTCAGCCCCTGTGGGCACCTTAGGTCGTCCCCTCTGGCCACCGAGCCGGGCGGTGCGTCCCCACGGGGAGCCACCCGGTGCCTCTCCGGCGTCTGCCAGCCCTGCGGGAGGAGGGGTCAGGCTGAGCCGCAGACGGAGCCTGGACAGCCAGGTCCTCGGGACACATGCCATGGGAGCTCGTGCTGGCCGGCCAGAGGCAGCAAAGCTGTCCAGACCCGATCCCGGGCGGGGTCCAGCTCCCTGGACAGCAGATTGTCCTGCCGTCGGTCCAGGGCCTCCCCTGCAGGCTGGTGTGCACCTTTAACCAGCAGGAACCGGGCTGGGGCGTGGGGCGGAGCCTGGGGCGTGGGGCGGGGCCTGGGGTGAGGGGAGGGGCCTGGGCCGTAGGGCGGAGCCTGTGGGCGTGAGGCGGAGCCTAGGGTGCAGGGCAGAGCCTAGGATGCAGGGTGGAGCCTGAGGCGTGGGGAGGAGCCTGGGGCGTGGGCGGAGTCTGGGGCGTGGGGCGTGGCCTGGGTGGGGGCGGGGCCACCTCCCAGCAGCGGCCGCCCCTGGCTGCAGGTCCTGGGCTCAGGAAGCCTCCGTTTCCTGGAGACGGTTGCGGTTTCTCAACGGGGGAGGTGTGTGTGTGTGTTTAGGGGGGGTCCTGCGTGTGTGCACGCTCATGTGCAAGCATCTGCCTGTAGGCATGCAGCGTGCGTCGGAGGTGTGTGTTTTCTGTGTGAGTTCGTTTCTGCACGGCCGTGTACATGTGCACGTGGCAGGGTGTGCGTTGGCACGCGCTCACGTGTGTGCATGCTCGCGGGCGTTGGCGTAGGTGTGGCCACGTGCGCACGTTTGTGGGTTTGCAGGACTCTTTGTGCACGCGAGGTTTTTTTTTTGCATTTGTGTAGGTCTGTGTGTTTCCCTGTGCGTGGGCCTGTGTGTGTGTGTGTGTCCGTTTGCCCTTGTGTGTACGTGTATGCTTGTGTGCATCATTGTGTTTACGAGTGCACTTCTGCACGCACTGCACATGAGTTTGCGTGTGGGTGTGTATGAGTGTGCGTGTGTATCTGCATGCATCTGTGCTTTTTCCTGAGGTGCTGGGGGTCAAACCCCGGGCCTGGCCCGCGCGAGGCAAAGTGGGTACCTCGAGCTTTGTCCCAGGGTCCCCTCTGTTCCGTTTCTGCATCTGCGGAGAAACCACCAAGAAAACTGGGGTTGACAGGTTCCCAGGGGCAGCGTTTCCAACTTCCATTAAAATTCCCTGAGCACATTCTCACCGTGGCCACGGAGGCAGCCACTGGAGACCCGGGGTAGAGGCTCAGGAGGCTCGGGCAGCCTGGGGCCTTGCTTTGCAGAGCCGTCGTGGGCGCAAGGAGGTGGTCTCCAGGGAAGAGGCCATCGGTCACACACAGTGCCCAGCGCTGTGTCTGCAGGTTTCACCCCCCTCCAGCATCGGATTTTTCTTTCTTGCTTTTATCCAAATGGATCTGCAGCCTTCTTGGTCCAAGGCCTCCTGAGAGGCTGAGGCTGTCCAGTGGGTCCTCCTCCCAGCAGCCTGCAGACTGGCCTCGGCCTGCCACCCTGCGCACGTGCCCGGAGATTGTCTCTGCGCATCTCTGAGCTGTCCAGGGCCCGCGGGAGATGGGCTCCGTGACTGGATGACTGACAGCCAGAAAAAGCAGGATC